CATAACAATTCAAAAGTCAGAATTTTACCTTGTACTGTGGTTATGTGTTAGTGTTACAGTTTTTCTTCTTGCTTTAAAGAACTTTTAAAAGTAATTTTGTATTGTGGGCACTGAAATCTTTACTCAGGGTCTGAGATTTTCTTTAAATGCCTGGAGCCGATAAATCTTCCTTCTTTGCTTTGTGATTCTGTTGGAACACACTTTCATTACTAAGTTGGAACTTTATAACAGTCTGTTAGCTTTGTTTCCTGACTGGGCATAGTTTCAAGGTTAGAGGTGAAACTTGAGCTGTTTTTCATTCCTTGCTGTATATATAGCCCTTTTCATGTGAGTGGTCTTTTAAACTGCCAGGAAATATCAAACGTTTTCAAGCCCCTATGGATATTGAATTCTCAAGATTTTCATTTGTTTAGCCTATTGTTTGTTCTACTTCTGCCATCTCCCCTATTCACACAATTAAAATTTGTAAGTAATTTGACATTAATAGTTTTCTCTATCCTCTTACTAGAGCATGTGGGGAGGAGATCCTCCAACTTTGGACAACAGTCAGAGAAACACAGTACAGACCAGATAATAACTAGTCCTTATGAGATGAAACTGAAAGAGCTTCAGTTGGACTGCTCTGGCAGTGCAGGATCAGAAATAAAGACAACAAAAATCATTTTTCTTAATCAAATTCTTTTTTTTTTCTGAAATGAATTCTTTCTGGGTGCTTGAGCCGTTTGAAAAATTTCTCAAGATCCCAAATAGAGTATGTATTGCTTGTAGAAAGGAGTATATTCTTAGAAATGCACTTTTAGGCAACTTCATCTTTGTGTGACTATCATAGAATGTATTTTTTGTTGTTGTTTTTGTTTTTATTTTCCTGGAACTCACTCTGTAGCCCAGGCTGGCCTCAAACTTACAGATATCCGCCTGCCTCTGCCTCCCAAGTGCTGGGATTAAAGACATGTTCCACCACCGTCCGGCCCTAAAATGTATTTTTATAAGCCTAGATGATAAGCTTAGGAACTCTATCTCATCTCTCACTTCGGTCCAAGAACATGGTAAATACGAAATGATGAAGTTGCTGTGATGTAATAGGGCCTGTATTTTACAATAAACTTTAAATGTGTGTAAATAGTCTTGTATAATGTAATACATGGGCAAGCAACAGTTTTATTGTCAATAAATATTATATACTCTACATAATTATATATCCTGTAATCTTAAGCAACTGGTAACACTGGCTTGTTTAATACCAACATCACTACAAATACCCGAATAATGAATAATAAATACTTCATGCTTCAGTGATATGAAGGCAATGTTGCATGTGATAAAATGTTTTCAGCTCCATTGTAATCTTAAAGCACCACTATTACATGTCATTGTTTCTTGACAAAATGTCATTATGGAGTGTATGTACTTTGTTATATATAATTATATATCTTTATGTATATATAGTTATATATCTAATGTATAGCGATATATACATATATAACTATATATAAATTTGCTACTCTTGCATTGAGACAGTTGATTCTGCAGCCAAATACTAATGTTCAGGCTGCCCTGAGCATGTTCCATGGTGCAGGAGATCATCTATAGTTACAGAGCCAAAGGAAGCCATACATCAATATATTTACCAATCTATTGATAGAGGAGCATCAGCTAAGTGACATGTTACCTTATTCTTAGCTTTAGGGCTAGTGGAAGCTGATAGTTTATTTAAAATAGTTCATCCCAAAAGTTTTACTTAATAGTAACAACCATGTTAGGCCTAGTACAAGGGATAAAAGTTAATAACTCTGAAAAGGGATTAAAGATAGCCTAGGATAATTTTGTCTCTCAATTTGTAACATTTTCTCTTCACAATCACAGCATTTTAATCAATCTTCTGAATCTTCAACATATATGTAGCCATTTTATTGATCTTAGTTGATAGTAGAACCGCTTCTCTTTTTATCAGTTTGTTGTTACTTTAATGGAGTGACAGATCTGAAGGCCCCTTGCTCTGCCACTTATGATTATCTCTTTTATCCCTTTCTTGAATGAATGCTTATAATTTCTGTCTTTAAAGGAAATTTATCCATTTCTTAAAAGAGTTTCCCACTGAGCTCTGCTTCCAGCCAGGTTGTTTTGTTTGTGTTTTTCCCCTGTTTTTGACTGGTGCCACATAAACATTTAGGTAAAGTTGTAAAGCTCTTTTGCATTTGGCGGGGGGGGGGGGGGGGGGGCTTCACTTTTTTCTGTTGATAAATGAGAAGGGTAGCAGGCTTATTTGGACGGCCAGCCCCCAAATCACTACACAGAGACTTATTAATTATGAAAGCTCGGCCTATAACTTAAAATGCTCTTATAAATTAATTTGACCCATTTATATTAATCTGTGTTTTACTTCTTAGCTTTTTATCTCTCTTCCGTCTTGCATCTGTTTCCTCTCCATGTTCTCTGGTGTCTCTCCTGTGTCTAGATACATCTTTTCCTTATCTCCGCTCAGAAGTACCACCTATACCTCCTAACTATTGGCCATTTGGCTTTTTATTAAATCAATCACAGTGACACATCTTCACAGTGTAAAGGAATATCCTACAACAGAGAAGGTTTGAAATCGCCAATATAATATATATGACCCTTTGGAAATATTTTGAGAGATGCCATCATTTTTTATCATTCTGATGTATTTTATCCTTTTATCCAGACTATTTTTAAAGTCGTCTTCTGTTTGTCCTTGTCATGGTCTAGTTTGTACTACAATGCATTTTGTTAAGTGATAGCCTTTAGTAAACTTCTTTGTATATATTGTACATTCTATATCAGCCTGCTCATTAACTTTTTTCTTAAGTACGTAAAGTTAAGGGTTTGATTACAGCCATTTGTCTGTATATATAATTTTACTTTATTCTTAATTTTCCTCTTTCACAGCCCCTCCCCTATACTTCTTGGGTTCTTTTGCTGGATTGTTATAGATTCATAGATCCTCCTGTCTTTCTGTGTAGGGTTAAGTTTGTTTATTGCTTTCTTTATCTGTTGTATCAAAGGCTAGAACTGCTTCAAATGGTCTTACCTTATCTCTTTTGTTTTTGTGTTTGCCTAAAGACTCACTGATCAGTGTCTAAGCTCCAAGGTTCTTTCAGCAGCAACCTTCTGTTACTATGAAGGCATTGTTGATGTATTTATAAATATGAAGGGAGAAGAAGCTTATCAGTTGGTACCAGGGTTTAAGGGATCCTCAATTGAAATTTTCCCACCATTATTGAAAACTAGCAGGGGCCACGTGGAATATATATCTTCTTCTTCCAGATCTGTTAAGCTTTGACAAAACTATGATTTGGAGAAAATAGTTTTTAGGTCTAGGCAGGACATGTGGAGAACATTCTCAGCAGTGGATTGGATTACCAGTGGATTGGTTGCACCTTTCACTCATTTTACATTTTGGAGCAGAAACCAAAGGTTTCATTTTTTTTTCTCTAGAACTCTAATGTATAAGCTCTCTTTTTTTAAATTTTATATCTGACTATTTGATATTCAGGATTTTGAGACCCATTTATACCTTTTTAGTAATTCCCTTGAATCTGTTTTCCTTCTTTTTTGAGTTTTCCTGTCAGTAAGTCTGTCAAAGTTTTCTTCTTGTGGTATATAAGTTATAATGACATGCTGCAAAGTACCCTAGTATTTAAGAATCCAGCTTGACTGGCTGTGTGCTTGAAAACAGTACTCAGATGAAGGTACAGAGCATTTCCATCACCCTTTCCCCTTTAAAACTAACTGAAAACTGCCAACCAGACCTACAGCATAGACACATCCTTTTATACTTCAGCAGTATATGAAATTTCCAAGAACTATACATTCTCCTAACATGGTCATTATTTTTTTTAATTGCATTCTGATGGGTAAATGAACTACTGATGGTTTATTTTAAGTTTGGAACTCCATGTCTAGACCTTTGATGAGTTTTACTTTTCTGGGTCTGAATGCTAGAGAATTGTATGTTTCCATTAATCAATGCTTCCTTCACTTACACAGTCTGTTACAGGTGTTTTGATACATTTCTCAATACTCAAGATACTTTTGATCACTGTTAAAGCAACAAAATTTTCCTCCCACGTTTCAAATGTTACCTTGGCAACAATTTTCTTCATGTAATGTGTTAATAAAATTTTCCAGCCATGTTGTAGTGGCGCACACCTTTAATTCCAGCACTTGGGAAGCAGAGGCAGGCAGCAGATCTCTATGAATTAGAGGGCAGTCTGGGCTACAAGAATTAGTGTCAGGACAGCCTCTAAGGCTACAGAGAAACCCTGCATTGAAAAAAAAAAATCCAAGGAGTCCTCTTACTTAAAGCATTTTTTTTTTTATTTTACATTTATCTATTTAGTCACAGGAGTTGGTTTTTGTCTTCTACCAAGTAGTTCCTGTGGCTCAAACTCAGATAAAACTCAGGTTTGATAGCAAGCAAGCACTGGCCTGAGATTTTTTTGTTTTTTTTTCGAGACAGGGTTTCTCTGTAGCTTTTTAGAGCCTGCTCTGGAACCAGCTCTCGTAGACCAGACTGGCCTCAAACTCACAGAGATCCGCCTGCCTCTGCCTCCTGAGTGCTGGGATTAAAGGTGTGCACCACCACCGCCCAGCTTTTGAGACATCTTTTTTATAATATCATTCATTCCTTTTTAAGGAGGATGGTTACATTTTATTTAGCAGTCTATCTTTAAAGATAATGTAGACTATAATATAATTTCAAAATAAATAATGATTAATATGTATGTATTTATGTACACACATGTATATATTTCTTTTTGACAAGTGCAGATTTAAGGCTCATACACTGAAATCTTGAAATAACTCTTTAAAGTTATTATTTATGGCTATCTAAAGTTTTTTCTTTATATTCAAATAATTTTTTTTAGATGTGTGTCACAGATAAACAATAAAATTCAGCTTCGGAAATTAGTATGTTGGTACATAACGTATGCCCTGAAATTATAATTGTCACGTTTTATTTTTGTTTTCTGTTTAAGGCAATCCTTTATCACAGGATATTATGAGCTTATACCAGGACCCAGATGGAACCCGAAAGCTACTGAACTTCATGCTTGACAATCTTGCAGGTAACTCAGAGCAGTGAACTCTATAGATGTTATCACATCTATATATACATCTGATATATGTATATTTGTGATACATCTGATATATCACAAATTGCTTTTATAATGGCTATATGTTTAGAATTTCTGCCTTTGCCTTTTGCATGCAGGGCTTTTTTTTCATGTATGAGTACTTTCTGTTTATGAAGCAATGTGGTAATAGTTTTAGTTTCACTATCTTATAGGAAGTTTTACACTTTTAAAATGATCTATTTTTATTATGATTGTTACTAATACTACTGAGACAGAGTCTTACTGTGTAACCCTGGTTGGTCTGGACATCATTATGATTACCAGGCTGACCTCAAACTCACAAGAGAGCCATTTGCCTCTGTCACCCAAGGGTTGCAATTACTCATATACACCACATATGTGGAGGTGTCAAAAGAGGCCAGAACAGGGTGTCAGATTTCCTGGAGCTAGTCATAGTTGTGAGCTGTCTGATATTAAAAGCTAGACAGCAAACTGAGGTCCTTTGGCAGAGCAACAAGTGCTCTTAACTGCAGAACCATCTCTCCATCTCCAGGATCTTTACATTTTACAAGTATAGACTTTGAGATAAAAATGGCTAGTAATTGCAAGTCTGTGAATCACGATTGTCTTAGTCTTTTAATCACTAAGATAGTTATTAGTAACTTGAATTTAGTGAGATGATCTGCAACCTTGCTCACATATTTTTAATGAAAAAGATTGCTATTAGTAGTGCCTAGACAAGATGATTTTGACTTTATGTAAAAGTTTTCCTGTTGCAATCTGTAAGAGGAGGGCCTGCTTGTTTGTCCTGGTTGCCTGGCTATCTTAGCCCCGAAATAACCACACAGAAACTGTATTAAGTAAATCACTGCTTGGCCCATTAGCTCTAGTTTCTTACATCTTAATTTAACCCATTTCTATTAATCTGTATATTGCTATGTGGCAGTGGCTTACTGGGTAAAATTCTAACCAGCGTCTTTCTCAGGTGGAGGATCCATGGTGTCTCTCTCTGACTCTAACCTTCTTTCTTTCCCAGCATTCCGTTCTGTCTTCCCTGCTAAGTTCTGCCCTATCAACAGGCCAAGGAAGTTCCTTTATTAACCAGTGAAAGCAACACATAGACAGAAGGACCTCCTACAACCTACAACATTTTCCCTTTTCTGTTTAAACAAAAAGGAAGGCTTTAACTTTAACATAGCAAAACTACATATAACAAAACAGGTATCAAGCAATAATTACAGTTACAATATTTCTATTTACTTTATCTTTTATTATAGCTAAGGAAAACTATAGCTATAACTATATATTCTTTAATTCCATCAAAAACTCTAGAAGGATTTATTACCTAAGTAAACAGGAAGTGCAATGTAAGCAACTTCCAGAACTCTAGAAATGACAGACATCTTGCTGCCTGGATAGTCACCCAAACTTTTTCAGTGCCTTTTGGGCATCCATTTTTAGCTTACAGGCCCATAGTATCCAGCAGACTTTTCCATGAAGCAGGAAATTTCAGAGACCATTCCGCCTATATTGAAAGTTTGCCAGTCACTTTCTTCTGTGTCCTGCAGAATGTCTCACAGACTCTTTCATGCAGCAGGAACCCCAAAGGATTGTCTCACTTTTAGGCAAGTTCAGCAGTCATTTCTCTGTGAATCCTGCATGTCCAGTTCTTCTAACAAACTCCATAAGGAGGCTCTTCAATGCCCATCTTCCTCTTGAAGTAATTGGTGCTGCCAGGAGCATATGTGCCTCATTGTCATGAAAAGTCCTAAGTTATTAAAACATTTTAAATGCCATATTCTGAAGGTCTTTGAAAGATTTGAAGAATACCTATCTAATTGAAATATAGCTAGAAAATCTAACATGACTGCAAGCTTGACTATTATAGATGATTAGCTATTAGCCTATATTTAAGTATACATTACATTTTTAAATGAACTACATAGTCATAGTACCTTAATGAAGATCAGAAATACATATAACAAAATTGACCTTATATTTATTTGTATCAATAAACCAAGATCCATACCAATGCAAATTATATCTATATCATATCTCCCTTTAAATGTAAAAGAACATTTATAAACTATTTGGGAATATGGGAGTAGTTATTTCTCTCCAAACTACTTCCTGCTGTTTGAGGGCACTGTTAATTAGGTCTCTCATGGAGTATCCTGTGTGCTAGGTTCATCTCAGTCAGCAGTTGAGTGAAGTAAATTTTTGAGGGCATTCATGGCGATTTTTCAGGGGGTCTTGGTGTATGAAACCATATTCGCCTGGAAGTAATCCACAGTTTCTCATGTTTTGTGAAAACAAAAGAAGAACCTCTTTTCTCAAGCAACATGTCCTTAGACCCAAATTGTTTTTTTTAATATAATTTTTTTATTGAAAAAAAAATTTTTCCGCCTCCTCCCCACCTCCCATTTCCCTCCCCGTCTCCCTTTTCCCCCCTTCTCCCTCTCCTCTCCTCCTCCCCCACTCCTCTCCCCCTCCCTCTCCAGTCTGAGGGGCAGTCAGGGTTCCCTGCCCTGTGGAAAGTCCAAAGTCCTCCCCGCTCCATCCTGGTCTAGGAAGGTGGACATCCAAACTGGCTAGGCTCCCATAAAGCCAGAACATGAAGTAGGATCAAAACCCAGTGGCATTGTCCTTGGCTTCTCAGCAGCCCTCATTGTCCGCCATATTCAGAGAGTCCGGTTTTATCCCATGCTTTTTAGACCCAAATTGTGAACTCAAGATACCTTTACAATATACATGCTGCTTTAGCTTAGCAGCCCATACAATGAAATGTCTCTCTGTACTTAGCTACTTCACAGTTCAAAAATTCAAAGAAAACACAATAATCATGGTGGAGCTGTTCTCGCCTCTGAGAGTTAAGCACACTGCCCCAGTTCCAGGCACACAGCCGGTCCATGTTTCCATCAAGAAAGCTGTAGCAGTCTGCTCACAAACCCCATTCAAATGCTCTGTGCTGGACCATCTGCCTCTGTTTGCTGAGCCCTGGTATTAAAGGTGATGTCAGCATTCCCTGGCCTATGTGGCTGACTTGGCTGCTTTGCTCTCTGATCTTCAGGAAAGCCTTATTAAAATACAAATAATATACCACTATACCCTCATACTTGTAGAACATGCACTTTTACATAACTGAGCCATGTTCTTGGCCTGTACACACAAAAAATTATCTAGCTATTTGGTATAGTCTCATTGAGCTGTCTTCCTAACTTCTATGCAAAAATTTATTCATTTAATTTTTTGACAGGTTTCACTATAGCCTTGCCTGGTGTAGAGTTTACTATGTACACCAGGCTGTCCATGAACTCACAGAGTGACCTGCTTCCATTTCCTAAGTGCTTGAATTCAGGAACTGAGCTTCCACGCCTGACAACATTTTATTTGTTGGGGGGGGGGGCGTGTGTGCTATAGCATACATATGAAGGTTGTGTGTTGTTGCTGGGTCCTAATGTCTTCCTCAGGGGAGGGGTGAAAGGCACGATGTCAACTACTAGAGACACTGGGAGTCAGGTAGAAGGTTTACAGCAGACTCATTTTATTTAACAGCGTGGAAAAACTTACATACCGTCCCAGCACCCAGGGTTTCTGATCCACTGACATTTGACATTTTATGCTCGTCTCTCATTGACTAGGCACGATTAGGACCTCTGACAGCGCCTGTTGCTCGGCATTCAGGAAACACAGCTTGGTTGTTCCTTATTGGCTAGGCACAGACAGGACCTTTGACAGCTCCAGGCAGACTCCAGGTTGGCTCCTTTTGGCCTGGTAGGCGTTAGTGTGTAGGGGCATGTGTGCCATAGAACACATGTGGAGGTTGTGGTGAGGGCATGTGTGCTGTAAAACACATGAGAAGGTGAGAGGTCAGAGGATAACTATCTGTAGTCACTTTTACTCCCTTTGCCCAATGGACGATTTCTCCTGCCCTTAGATAGTTTGTAAACAGAGCTAAAGAAATTATGAGTTTTGTCAGAGAGGTCACTATTAGTATTTCAGCTATACTCTTAAATTAACTTTATCACAAAAGATGACTTCCTCATATATAAAATGTAAGATTTATAATAAGAGGAAAAGCAGTTAATGCTATTCAGAGTGACTTAAATTTGAATGATGGGAGACAAATTAATAAACTTATTTCCAGAATCCTTTTAGTAAGAAATTAAGAATAGGTCTAGAGATGTGGCTCTGCTGGTAGACGGTTTGCTTAGTATGCTCAAAATATTTGGTTTTATCCCCAGCACTACATAATCTGGGTATGATGGTATACACAGTTAATCCTGGTTCTTGGGCAGTAGAGGAAGTAAGTTCACTTAGCTCACTGCAAATTTCAGGCCAGCCTGAGATACCTGAGATCCTTTATGGGGAAAAACAAAAACAAAAACAAAACCAAGGACTATGTGAATGTTTACTTTATTTGTGTATGTAATACATGCATACCATTCCTAATTTACAGTAAATATCGTTCTTATTTTTATCATTGTCACCAGTTAACCATTTATATAATTTTTTTCAGGAGTTTTTTTGTGTAAGTCATTTGGTGGTATCTCTGTTACAAATACCCTTAACTTTGCTTGGTTTATATTTTGATGGATAGAACTTTTAACATAATAAAATTTACTGGTTTTGGAGTTAGGATGGGTAGTAGTAGTCCTGGTATGGTCACAGCTTCTGTGTCCTCTCCAAGAGCTTTTCCTTAACTTAAGATTATGAATGTGTTCTCTAGAAACACCTTTGTTTTACTTGTTACTTAGACCTATAACGTTCTTGGAGTTGATGTTTGTGTAATGACCCTCCCATATGTGTATTTCTTATTTACTCTGAACCATTTACTGATAATTCTATTTTTCAGTTAATTACTGATTTTTATTGCTACAGCTAGAAATCAAGTGTGGAAAGGCTGATGTAACTCTAAAGGCATTTGGCTAGCATTCAAAGAGGCCTGTGTTGGATCACTAGTGTCACGTAAACTGGGTGTGCTGAATCTGGTGCTAGGGAAACTCTCAGGAAATCACAAGGATAACCCCAGCTAAGACTCCTAAGTATAGCAGAGAGGGTGCCTGAACTGGCCTTCCCCTGTAATCAGATTTACTACTCTAATTGTCATCATAGAACCTTCATCCCATAACTGATGGACACAGATACAGAGATCCGCAGCTAATCACTGGGCCTAACTCCCAGAGGCCAGTCATAGAGAGGAAGGAGGGATTATATGAGCAAAGGGGTCAAGATAATGTTGGGGAAACCCACAGGATCAGTTGATGTGAACTAGTGGGATCTCACTGATTCTGAACTGAACCAGGGAACCTGCATAGGACCAAACTAGGGCCTCTGAATGTGAGTAATAGCTCTGTGACTTGAGCAGTCTATAGGGCCACTGGCAATGGGACCAGGATTTATTCCCAGTGTATGAACTGGCTTTTTGGAGCCCATTCTCTAGGGAGGGATACCTTTCACAGCCTAGATACAGTGGTGGCGGGGGAGAGCTTGGTCCTACCTCAGCTTAATATGCTAGACTTTGTTGACTCCCCGTGGGAGGCCTTACCCTTTCTGAGGAGTAGATGGGGGGAATAGGTGGGGAAAAGTGGAAAAAGGAGAAGGAGGGAACTGTGGTTGCTATGTAAAATGAAAAAAAAAAACCTTAAAAGCAAAAAACTGAGTGTGGTGGCGATGGAGGCTTGTAATCTTAGCTCTTGGGAGGTGGACAAGGGAAGATTATAATATAAATTAAAGGTTATCTTTAGGTACATTTGAAGCTTAGCCAGAAATATAAGAGTTTTTTTTATATATATTTTGACCATATTCTTTACCCTTATCTAAATCCTCCTTACCTTTCTACCCACCCAATTTCATGTTTTTTCTCTTTCAAAAACAGGAACAAAGCGAAAAAAAGATAAACCAACAAAACAAAAATTACCCAAAGCAAACAAAATGTCCACAAAAACGAAAGATGGCATCCTTTTTGTGTTTGCCAGTAGCTGCTCCTGGGCATGGAATGGGATGCCTGCCCAGAAGTGTGGTTGATAGACCCAGTCACACTCCTTGAAGAAAATGGATTTTCTCTTTCCCAGCAGGCATCAATTGTAAATAGTTCCTTGGTTAAGGACTGTGTCTACCTCCCCTTCTCAGTGCTGGAACTTTTTTTTTTGGCTTTGAAGTCTTAATTAAATTCTAGGATTTGGATTTCAAGTCCTTTTGTGGGTATCATAGCCAAATAGTAAATAGGCTGATTTGGTATTAGAAACTAAATGATACCTTTTTATAAACATTGGATTTTTTTGTTTGTTTGTTTTTAATTTTTTTCTTTCAGTTCATCCAGAGCAGCTTCCTCCGAGGCCATGGATTACATTAAAAGAACGAGACCAAATCCTGCCATCAGGTAGGTTTTTTCCTCTTTGACTTTTAAAATAAATACTTACTTGAGCTTTATGATTGGTAGACTTACATTTTATCAACCAGGATGTAGATGGTTTTTAAAGTATTGATAGACAAAAACAAAACCCCAACATTAAGATATACTTATTGTACAGGTAAATATCTTGTTTCTTTTGCTGTGGTGCTCTGGGCTCGAAAATTATTCCTTGTGCTGCAGCTTTTGAGAGACCTTAGATGATTTAAGAAAAATGAACAATAATGAGCTTTCTTCTGAAAAAATTTGAATTTCTTAGATATTTTATCTTTTTTGAAATGAATACTGTTGATACTTAATGTTTAAGTTAGCTTAGTGGAAATTCGACAAGATTGACTATAGGAATAGTTTGAGAATATTTCATAACTATTAGAATGTAACCTAGCATGTTTAAAACAGTAGTTATGTTTGAAATTTAAACTAGTATGCTTTTGTGCAGACCAGTAACAATTTGATATTTTTGTAGGACTTTTTACTGTATGTTAAGATATTTTAGGTTTGGAAAATCCACTTAAAAAGGAGTAAGAGAGAAGACTCAGTGGTATTAAGAGCACTTGCTGCTCTTGAAGAAGGCCTGAGTTCAGTTTCTAGTGCCCACAGGGCAGCACACAACCGTCTGTAATTCCAGTTCCAGGGAATCGGGTTCTCCCTTCTGGACGCCTTAGGCACTAAGGCTGCATGTTGGAACGGACAGGAACTCATGTATACAATAACATCTTTTTTAAAAACAGTGAATTGTTGCTTTAGTACCTTTTTAACAATCACATCCGTAAGTATTTTTATGATACTTAATTTCATTTCAAAATTCAGTGTAACTTCACTATTCGTAGCTTGGCCCCTAATGATTTTAATTAAAGACCTAATGGGCCTTTAATGATTTTAACAGGTCTGTTACAGTCAGAAGTTACTAGCTGCATTTTGAACAATTCACCCCTTCTGTTCTGAGTTTTTGGTTTTTGCTTTTTGTTTTTCGTTTTTGTTTTTCTAAAACAGGGTCTCTTTGGTATGTAGGTCTGACTGTCCTGGCACTTGCTATGTAGACCAGGCTGATCTCACAGAGATCCACCTGCCTCGCTTCCCAAGTCCTGGGACTAAAAGTGTGCTACCACATCTGGTCTTTTGGCTTCTTTTTTTAATTCAGAATTATGTGGAATTATAACATCATCATGATTCTCTTTATATTTTGATGTTGAGAAATAATCCTATGCTGTACAGTTATGGTCTTCCATAGGTGTGTGGTTTTAAAGTCACCACACTGTAGAAAAACATTAGCTTGTTAAGTAGACATTGTTTCAAAATTAATAACACTTGTTTTAGCATGTTGCATATTAAACAATCTGAGTAAAAGGAACACTTAGGTTTTCTAGAATGCCTTGGATTAATTTTATAATTGATTATCCATAGTGTGGTTTTGTCCTTCATATTCAAATCATCTTTTTTTTTAATGAAAGTCTCTTACCTCCATGTTTAGATTTTTGCCTTGGATTAAGTGAAATACAAATACTTCATACTTTCTCTTCATGAAATTCAGATTTAAGAAAAATATTCAAATAGAACATAAAGATAGAAGGATAGGGAGCTGTGCAGGAAGAGGAAGGGAACCTTACAAAGAGGATACAATAGGCTGTCAGGGCAGTCAGATGGGGGTGAATATCAACAAAGTATCTGATGTATGAAAATGTCAGAATGAAACCCCTTATTTTGTACAATGAGCATGTATTAATTAAAAAATTAATGTAAAAATGAGTTTCATACATTAAAAATGAGCATCATTTTTGAACTCTTTAATCCCTTCTGAACACAAATGAACAGAATTTGGAAGGAAAACTACTACTATACAGCTACATTTTTATTAAGAACAGGGATAATACATAGAACTAAATGTTAACTAGTCAGTAAATTCATAAAGTAATAAATTCTTAGGGTTGGTGGTTATGAAAAATGAATAAAGATTCTTCTTAGTGTGTGCGGTTGGTGTTGGCTGAATAGATTTTAACTGTCAACATTGGAAAATGCCTTTTCTTGTGCTGAATAGAGAGATGTGTATAATATCTGAGGGTAGTTGGGAATGATTTATAATCAAATAGTTGTAATTATTAACTGTGTAGTAATCAAGACCAGTTAGTAAAAAGTCTTCCAGACAGAAATGGAATATAAGAAAGCTGTAATAACAGCTTAATTAATTTTTACTTCCATTTATAACTTGTAAACATGTCATTGGTGCTGAGTTTAGTCTTTGTTAGACAAATTATAACTGCTAGACTTGTCTAGGAAAATCTTCACAAAGTCTTGGATGTGAACAAAACAATAATAATATGCCTTCTTTTCCTCTTCAAAATGGTATTTCATATCTGGAGAGGCAGAATATGGTAAACTCTTGCTGCTTTACTTCATAATGTAGTGGCTTGGGAATGGTTCTGGGTTATTTCCAAAGTAAATACAGGGAATATAAATAACTCCAATTGAAACTTGGACTTCAATATACAAAGTGGCCTTGAACCAGATGCCGTACTGCCTTTCCTATTATTGAAACTGAATTCAGCTTCACCAAATGTTACTTGATCTTAATTGCTTACAAATTTATTAAGTTGGTGGTTCTCATCCATGTAGGTTTGTTGTAACCAAGTGGTATATGAAAATATACCACTTTTGAAAATGTGCATCCAAGAACCTAATGCTCTGACTTTAATATAAAGTTACATCCTTGGTATCAGTTTTTGCTATTGTTGTTGATGATGATTTTTTTAAGCTTAGGTCTTTCTGTAGTTTAATATGCATGTTAATTTTGGGGGCAAGTCGGGATTTTGTTAAACTTTAATTTAACCAATATTCAGAGGCCAGAAGTTGTGGATTTCTAAGCATCCAGGTGATCATTGATGCTGCTGGGACTTAGAGCATATTTTTTAGTAGTGAGGGCATCTAGATTATTAGTTTGCTTACAGTTTTTCTTTTAAACAAGTCAGAATCTTATAAAATGATAATTTTATTTCAGAAATGAACATTAGATTGGCAAAAAGAATTCTCTTATGGCTAAGTTTTGTTAGTTCACACCTTTTTAGGTTAGATTTGTGGCAGTAATAATAGCCCCCCAAAATATTAACTATCAATATTTTGATAAGAAGTAATGAAATTAGAACCCTTTAAATATAATAAAACTAAAATTTGTTTTTGCTATAATTAAACTAAGCCCCCCTTTTTTCAGTAGAACATGCAAACAATACTCTGATTCTTAAATTTTGAATTTATTAAATTTTCTTCAAAATTCTGATTCTAGATAGTTAAATCCAGACTATTAAACAAACTTTGGTGTAATCTACTTGAGTGAAACCATCAGGTAAAACTTAAGTGAAATTTTCTTTAACTTAGGTGAGCATAAATGTCATAGAAGATCTTACTTCTGTGCGAAATCCTGCATTCCAAGTGAAGCAAAGGAAAATACTTTATCAGAATTTACTTTTGGCATTTTTCCGTAATTATATATGAACTGTATTTGTGTGCTTATGCCGGTATATTCTTGATACTTATTAACAAAAAGTTGCCTAATTTCCTCCCTTTTGTCTGTTTTTTTTTCTTCTGCTTCTTAGCATCATTCACGGTTATGTGTTACAATGTGTTATGTGATAAATACGCTACCCGGCAGCTATATGGCTATTGCCCGTCCTGGGCATTAAACTGGGAATACAGGAAAAAGGGAATTATGGAAGAAATTGTTAACTGGGACGCAGATATCATTAGTCTTCAGGTAACACTATAGAAATTAAATTGTGTTTAACTTGAAGGTGAACTAAAATAGTAGAAGAGCCTTTCTCTGGGAGATAGCCTATGTTCAAGGCAAAACTCAAAAAAAAGTTCCTTTCCTTTAAAAAGGGATAATTTTAATATAAAGAGATTTCCACGGTGTAACTTACCTTGCTTACCGAGGACACACATGCATTTATTTTCATGTACTGTTTTCTGAAATTAATCTTGCCTCTTGTCCATGTTAACAATTCCCCTATGAACAATTTATCAGAAGTACTGATAAAGAAAATTGCAAAAAGATTACTAGTCTTTCAGGAATATAAGTTTTCCTTAGAGTTGAGTCCAGAAGAAAGGGTTTTCTTAAACATGTTCCTTAAAGTAAAATATTAAAAAAAAAACTGCACAGTAAATAAAAACTTTTGCCTTACTTTATAAACTATTTTAAGAATTTAGACTTAACCTAATTTTCTTTTTTTTTCTAGTTCATTCACATAGGTCTATATTAGTAAATTTTTTATATCTTGATTTCTCAAAAAAATTTAAAAATCCCTTTCACTTATTTTAAAGACATGTTAAGGGCTCAGATCTCTCGGTAGGACCCAATTGTACAAGTTACACAGCTTTGAATTGGAGAGGAATGCTTTAAAGTCTTCTACTTAATAATACCGTATTTATTGAATTTTACTGAAGAGGAAATACGTATTCTTTTGAGGTTTAAATTCCTTTTTAATATTTGACTAGTAATTAGCCCAAAGTATTTGACTAGTTTTTTAGTAATTTTATTAATTTCAAAGCATATCAAATGTTTTTGTTTTGAAATTTCTGAACTGACAATAAATTAGCATTTATTAGATATGACATTGTGTTTTAATATATCTCTACAGTGTGGATGGCTGAATCGGGTTTGTTCATCTCCATCACCTCAGATAGTTGCTGTTTCTTAAAGATGTTTTAAAATTATTGTATTTTATACATTTTCAGTATATCCTGGAAAGAAAAATGATGACCTGCTTTTTGTTTTTGTTTGTTGGTTGGTTTTAATTATATGGTAGGCCCTAGTCCAGCCATGGCTATATAGTGAGACCCTTTCTCAAAAAAGAAAAAAACAAACAGTTTTTTAAAATAAAATAGCTTGGTAGTTTTGTTTCTTTGTTTTGTGTTTTACGTTACCTGAAATATAACAAAGAAAAATCTTTAAGATGAAATGTTCTTGTGAACAGGAAGAACAGCCAGAATTGGGGAGAAGAAAGCGAATGAAGTTAGACTGTGGTTCACTGTGTAGCTTTTGCTTTAGTGTTTATAGTGGCCTCCTGCAGGTGCCTTTGTAAGTAAAATGTACTTTGAAAGATAAATCAGAATCTACAAAAACATTTGTAAAAGCCAAAGTGTATTATAAAATATTCTAGGAAAGTTGAAAAATTAAAAAGTATAACTAAGGAAAACACTCCTGCACATCCAAGAACTAGTATGTTGATGCCTCTGGAATATTTTTGGTATACTTTTTTATTGTTACTGTTTATTGTTAGTTGACATAAGTTTTTTTTTAAAAAAAATTAAATGAGATTCTACTGTTATTGGCATATTTTGTTTCTTCACTTAGTGCATTTTTCATTTGAGTATGTGAATATGAGTATAATAAGACTACAATTCCTACTGTAGGACAGTCATAGATTTCCACTATAAAATCAGTGTTAAGAGCACCTTTATATATCAGTATCATCACTTTCACATTTGATTATCTCATTTGAAAAGGTTTTTTTTTTAAAGAAAAAATAGTCTGTGGATCAAAGAATAAAGTTTACCTTAATTATTAAGTTAGTAGAACATTTTATGATTGCTATTTCTAAAATTTTCTGAAAGCTTAGGGTTTTTTGTTGTTGTTGAGTCTATCATTCGCACTCCAAGAATCATTGCTTTCCACCACAGTTTAAGAGATTAGTAATCTCTTTTTCTTTACATGAAAGATTTAATATTTTCTACCAAATAACCTATTATATATATATGTTTGTTTAATTACTAGTCTTGAGGACATGAAATATATTGAAATCTAATTTGGGAGTCAGGAGAGCTGAAATATAATCCTACTCCTATAATTAACTAGTATTGTGAACATGAGAAAATCATGCCATCTTTTTTGTGTCTTCATGTTTAAAATGCTGGTCATGTCAAATGCAACTGCCAGTGATACAATAAGATTGTTGGATGATATGTTACATGAAGTGCTTTATCTTAGTCACCTCTTACTCATACAGAATACTTTTATGTCTTAATCATTCTTTCATTATGTCATGTATATAATAATTTTTTTTTTATCTAAGGAAGTGGAAACAGAACAATACTTCACTCTCTTTCTGCCAGCATTGAAGGATCGTGGATATGATGGATTCTTTTCTCCAAAGTCACGTGCCAAAATCATGTCTGAGCAGGAAAGAAAGCATGTTGATGGTTGTGCAATATTCTTCAAAACGGAAAAGTAAGTCAGGAAAACAAAGCTTAGGGATGTACCCTTAATGACTCTAACTTTCTCACATCTACAGTAGCCTTTAGTGGGACTCTAAAAAGGTGAAGCTAGAGATTGCAAGTGTTATAAAAGTTAAAACTATTTTTCTTAGGAAATAAAGATATTTATTGTAGTATTATATTTTTATTGGCAGATTAAAATTTTGAGACAGATTTGAAAATACAGTTTTTAAAGTATTTTCATAAAGTAAGACCATAGTTTATGTTTGAAGTGAATTAGTACCTTTGAATAATAACTGGATTTCTTTCTGAGATTTCATTTACATAATGAACCTTTTCATCATTTTTAATTATTATTTCATATCTATTCAATTATTTACTAAATACTTAATTGAACTTTTTTGTGAAAAGTCTGTACTAAGCATGAGTAATTCCTAATCTCACTAGGACTTCAATATAACAGGAAAAGATAGGAATATAGAACAATATACATACACAAATATGTATACATATATAGTATGTGTATACAATATATGAAAGTTGTAGTTATATGTATTGAAGAGGATAGAAGTGAAGCATATGACTTTGGATGTGGGGAGTTAAAAGATAAACACCAGTTAGTAAAAGAGAAAATGTGTGGAAGTGAGAGAGGTTGAATTCCATATTTAGCACTTTGTACTTGGTACACTGACAATTATCTACATAGACGATAACCATATCCTCATTATAACAAAATCAGACAGTTTTATTTTTCTAAAAACTTATCTTTCCATCATATATACTATTTTTATGTGAACAGAATCAGTGAACTTAAAAGATATTTGGCCCACTTCTCATTTGTATATACCCGGTTTCTTTTTTTTTCCATGAATTTTTAATAAACATGAGCTTATTTAGGTAAGATGTAGAACTCTATAACACTTAATGCCAGAATGTATATAGTTCCTTATTTTTTGAAAATTATATTTTATTAGATTAAAAAGCCCTTTTTAATTATTTATATGGATTGTCTAAACTTTTAAAGTAACTCAGGTAGATATCCATTTCTTTCTTTTTTTTTTTAATGTAGATAATGAAATCAAGACAGGCAGACAGGTTCCATGAGCAATGCTACATGATAGCTCTCCCTTTATAGTTCATACCATCAACTTCTGTAACAATACAATATTTTGGCAGTTTGTTTCCACTCTGGTATTACTTTTGCTTCTTACAAGCATACCTCATTTGGAAAAATGCTTGAATTGACCTTTATTACCAATGTTCATAGAAAAAGTTTTTTGACGCACCGTAAACTTAAATGTTATGTGGTAACAGTAGAATGTTTCATTAACATCAAGTTATTTTCCAATCTGCCTGCTTTCCTCTATCCCTACCCCCCCTCCCCTTTTTTTAACCCAGTTCTCTTCCTCTCCTGATCTCTTGTCTTTCTAGACAGGGTCTTTATTTAGCCATGAGTTCACTATTCAAGTGTTGTGACTACAATGCTTGCCACTGTACCATTTCCTCTTATTGCTTTACAGATAATGTAGAAGAACTTGTTCTAAAAATCATTCCCAATACAGCCTGAAGGGAGAAATTTAAATTCCTTGATAGTTACTAGAGGTTCACGATTTGAGATAACACATAACTTCAATATAGGAAACTTTAGCCTTTGGATGGTGGCAGATTCATTCTTAAATTATGAAAGCACCGTGAACTGTTTTTAAAAATGAGTACACAGAGATTATTTTCTTGCATTCTTTTTCTTTCCATCCTCAGCTTTGTCCTTCCTAAATAGTATAGTATCATGGACTCCATAACAGTGAATGTAACACACTGTTTTATTAAACTGTTTGCTAACTATCCAGGGACCCCCCCCTTTTTTGTGTGCCCCAATATTTTTATTATTAAAATTTACATCATTTCCTCCAACTCTTTCCATGTCTTTCCCCTTCCCTACTCCTCTCAAATTTCTAGCCTCTTTAATTTTTACTGTCATATATGTGTGTGTACACATGGGCACATAAATGTTTAAATAGAACCTGCTGAGTCTGTTTACTGTTGCTTATGCATATGTAATTTCAGAACTGACTACTTGGTATAGGATAACCAGTTCAGGGGCTCAGTCTTCAGGAAGACTGTTTCTCTTGCTTTTAGCATTTTGTAGTTGACTGTAGCTCTTTGTCTGGGGGTGAGGCTTCAGGGACCCCACTTTTATTTTCTTCTCCCTTCATGGAAGAGGTAGTAATAGTGCAACGACTTGGAAATCACTCGTTTGCTATTTAATTAGCTGCATAATCTTGAGTAAGTTATTTACCCTTTCAGATCTAGTACTTCACGTGTTTATTTTACCTTGTAAGAAACATTTTTATGTTGTTTACAAAATGAGCAAAATAAAAGTGATAAATGTAGAAGAGTATTTTGATTCCATCAGCATTTTCAAAGTCTCTTAAACCAGTGAAGACAGTAATTTTTATCAAAATACCCATTTAGTGAAAGAATGGAATACTTTTGGTAAAAGCTAGGACACAGGTTATAGACATGTAGAGAATTAGAATACAATGAAACATTCTAGTGATTTTAAGATGGGAAGTGGTTGCGGACTATTGAGTCACACTGTAATTAAACCTAGTTTTAATTTGACAATGCTCATTGGGACCTCAAGATTTGGCAGTACCTTTTAGGCATTATCATAAGTACCATTATTCTTAATAGTTAAAAATACCAGAAAATCAAATTTTGATTGATCAAATACCAGAAGTGAGTTTTGCTCTTTTATGTCAAATATGACTGATAGTAGGCAAACACATACGTGCATTTTATATGTGAAGTGTGTGTATGTGTGTGAGAGCAAGAGAGAGATAAAGGCATAAAAATAGGTTTTTATCTAGACAGTGTAGGAAAGGAAGAGTGTAGTGCAGGAAGGAGAAGAAGGAAAGCCTAGGTGGGAAAACAGCTTGGTGCTATTAGACATGTTACTGTTATCACATATCACAGTACTTCAAGGAAATTTTTCTATGAACCCTGGTAATAAATGCCAAATTTAATTGAATGATGTAGCCTCCAGGTATTATCTAAGAAAGGCCAGGTGCTTTCTTTCTTTTTATATTATTTTCTTTTTGTATTATTAAATATAGTTTTGTTCTTGGGAAAGGGGCATTAGGAAGTTATAGTGCCACTCCAACCTTTTACACTTTTTTGTAATTATTCTCATTGACTCTGGGTTATTGATTATTTTGATTGCCTTTATTAATCTGTGAATTTAATGAAATCTTGATTTCTGGCTCCTAATGCTAATTTGCCACCAATTAAATGTGGAGCTGGATAAGTGGCTCATGTTAAGAGTGCCTCTGGAGTTGCAGAGTACCTGCCTTTCTTTCCCAGCTCCCATGTTATGCAGCCTACAACCACCAGTTCCAGAGGATTGATGCCCTCTGGTCTCTTCAGACACTGTGCACACATGGTACATATAAACTCACATAGGCACACACACATACACATAAATAGAAATAATCTTTTAAATAGTATAAAGTTGGGATGTAAAATGGTTTTATGCCAAAGTTCTACTTTTCAAATGTGAGTTAATAAAAATTGTTTTATCTACTATCATTATGGGCCTTAAATTAATAAAAGGTAAAGAAATGCCTTCAAGAGTTCTCAGCACTTAGGAGGCAGAGCTAGTAAATCTGTTAGTTTTGGGATCAACCTGGTCTACATAGTAATTTCTAGGCCAGGCAATTCTACAAAGACCATGTCTCAAAAACCCAAATAAACAAACACATTAAATATTATACAGATACAGACTGGTGTTTGCCTTATGTTTCTTCCATATTTACATCTAGTCTGTTAGTTTGCATTCACTAAGTTTTCTTACATGCTGATAGTTGATAAGACTCAAGGTCATCTTTTATATATTTCACGCTGAATATACTTTTAAGAAATTTACAGAGGAATGATACAGAAAGGAAGATACTAATTAACTTTTGGTCCCATACTTTTTTCCTCCCACTTATGCTCCTCCTCTATTCATATTTCTTCCTTTGGATGCATGTGGGTTGGTTGATGTCAGCACACACACCACTGACTATGCACCATGTGTGTAGAAGTTATTAACAGCTTGCAGGAGTCCATTCTCTCCTTCCTCTGTGGTGTAGATTATCGGCTTTTGGAACAAGGATCTTTACCACACAGAGCCATCTCTCTCGTTCATACTGTCTTCTCGATGGTGTTCGGTGTTCTTTTACTTACAGATAAATTTGGTGAAGATTAATAATGTAAATCCTGTTTTAGTTGCTCACAGGTCATGTTCATTGTTGTCTTTCTAGCTTTAGAGTCCTCACATGGCAACATAAAACATTACTTCTAGACTGCACAATGTTAAGAAATTGTTGCTTGTTTAAAGGCTTGTTTTGAACATGTTCTCCTGCGCATGAGCATTTGTCATCATCTTTCTCAAATATATAAGGTTTTTAGATGCTGTATTATTATAGTTTTGGTATTTTAGTCATATCATTCTTGATTATGTATGTACTTTTGTATACCCATTTGAGATTTTGCTTAAAATCTTCAACAGGGGGAACATACAGAAAAATTCTTATGATGAATAGCATCAGGAATAATGCTTATAAAGCAGAGTACACCAATCAGAATATAAATACTAAGCGAATTTTAAATACTGAAAAAAATGACAGGCTTAAGGTTTTATTTAAGCTTTTATTTAGCTTTAATAAATAATTAGAAAATAACTATAAACTAGTGCATGTTAGTTGAAAGAAAAATTCTAATAGAATAGAGGAAGAATGCTATATTTCAGAAATGTTTCTTGTATTGCATTCTGTACACCAGAAAGTAAAAGCCACATGGAGCATATTTGGTATATGGTGGTGGGGAGCAACATAAGTGGTTGTGTAATTAGTGTTGTAAAATATAAGAAGATTGTATTATATTTATTTAGAGATTCAGTTTCACTATGTAGCATTGACTGGTCTGGAACTGCCTGTGTGGGCCAGGCTAGTTTTGAACTTAGAGATAGCCACCTGTTTCTGCCTCCCAAGAGCTGAGATTAAAGACACATGGCACTGTGCCTGCCTCTTATTTTTATCTATGTGTATATGTCAATGTTATGTATGGTGAGTGCCCATGGAAGCCAGAAGTGGGTATCAGGTCCCCTGGAACTAGAGTTACAGTTGGTTGTGTTGTGTCTGATGTGCATGTTGGAATCAAACTCAGTTCGTTTGGAAGAGCAGCAAGTGCTATTTATCTACAGTCTACTTAGCTGCCCCCGTTTATTGATTAAAAAAAAAAAAAAAAGACCATGACTGAAAGCAATTTAGAGCAGGGGTTTTATTTCATCTTACCCTTATAAGTGACCATTCATCACTAGACAAAGTCAGGACATGAAACTTGAGGCAGGAACTGAAGCAAAAACCATGAAGGAACACTGCTTACTGGCTTGCACTCTGTGGCTTACTCAGTTTGTTTTCATATACTACTCAGTAGCACCTGCCAAGGGTGACATGCTCCCAGTGAGCTGGATCCTCTCACATCAACTTGCGAACAGGCAGCCTGATAGAAAGAAGCTTTTTTTTTTTTTTTAATTGAAGTTCTTTCCAGTTAAGTGTAGCTTGTATCCAACTGGTAAGACAACCAGTACAGTTGGCTTCACCAAATTTACAATTCTTAAATGTTAGCATTAGATTTTTATTCTATCCTATCATTCTATTATACTTAAAGTTTGTCACTAAGAAAAGAGAAATGCTATAGTATAGAAGCCATCATCACACATCACAGAGAGCCATTTCTTTTTATAGCACAATCTATTTTTTTTGAACACGTACACATAATTACAGTCTTTCAGTAAAAAGAACTAATCAAGTGTGATAATTTTAGGTGGGAAATAGGTTGTATTCCTGCATTTTCTTGACAATGATCTTGATACAGTATAAAAATAATTGCAAATGGGCCAGATAGATTTTATTCATTCTCTTTAAGTTGGTAACTCAGTTAAGATGGTGTGCACCTTTAAATGTCAGGCCATCTAAACAGTAGCTTAAGCAAATGAATTTTCACCTACATCAGGCAGTCTAGAAATAGAACTGGCTCAGCTGTTTCTCCATCCTTACAAGATTGGCTTTTACCCATCTGCTTGGTTCACACTTGATTATTAATCCTTTACGTACTAGCTAGAAGGAGAAAAGACATAAAATGATGAGGGGAATATATATTTCATCTTTTCTAGATGTGACCTCAATAAAGTGTTTGTAAAAGTCATATTTCTTATTTCCAGAATTATATCACATGGCCATTTGAAACTAGAAAGTGAAAGAGATTATCAGTGTCTGTACTCATGTCCACTCCCACTTTTAATGTCTTAGCATGACAGTATAACTACCTAAGTCATCTAAATATGTGTACCTTTTAGATTTACATTGGTGCAGAAGCATACAGTGGAATTCAACCAGGTAGCAATGGCGAATTCAGATGGCTCTGAGGCAATGCTGAACCGAGTGATGACAAAAGATAACATTGGTGTGGCTGTGGTCTTGGAGGTCCACAAGGAGCTCTTCGGAACAGGTGAGTGTTTTCTAAACAGTGTTAAAGATAAAGATTCTAGACTTCCTTATCTCACAACAAAAGAACAAAACCTTATTTATTACAAAATTAGTTTCTTTTGAGAACTGTTAATGGAGATGAACAAGAAAATAATATTAATTAAATTATTTATTTCTTATGATCTCATGACATAGTCTATAGTTTCTATCATTATTTTTACTTACAAGGTAATACCTGCCTTTTTTTTTAGCATATTATTAGTTGAAAAAGTTTTTTGAAATAGTGATGTTTTAGTTACGCTGAATTAGAAATTACAATGACTTAGTCCTCTCCAGTGTAGCTTTAGCTTCATGAGTATGAACCCTTTGTTTTTAAGGTTAAATAGTTGGCTTGTTTTCTTTATTTTCTTTGTTAAATCTCAAGGCTTTGTTAGGGTGAGAACAACATCTTTTATCTATGTGATACTTCCAGGGTTTTTAGATTATTTATAGCTTCCCTGACAATCAGAAATTCATTGTATACTTGGCATTACCAAGATCTTTTGTTAGCCTCTCTCCTGCCTGCCTCAGAACACTTTAATACTTATTAATGTTTCAGGCAAGAACAAGGTGGTGGTAAGACCACATCAGCGCACTTCTATTCCTGTGCTGCCTGTGGAATAAAAGACTTGTCTTGAGTACTAGTTTGAATTATTCAGACTATACATTTTGTCAGATTTCTTCTTTCTACAGTTCTTCAGTTTATTGATGATTAAACAAAATCAGCCTTTAATGTAAGATTTCATGTTTACTTCTTTTTGGGAATTTATTTGGGTAGCAGATTTGCTTCCTTATTTCATTTTCTGTAGTTTCATACAATGTTGCTGATTTTTCCTATTGACCTTTCATTATTCAGCTTGTGAAATGCAAGAAATATGAAGTGGCAAGAAATTATTTATTGGTAATTTAACTGGAAGCATCTTTCACTATGTTATTATGCTAATTAAATAAGAAGCACTTAAAAGTGCTTGCTTGGTGCTGTACAGATGGCTTAGTAGTTAAGACATGCATTGTTTTCCCACAGGACAAGAGTTTGGTTCCCAGCACCTACATTGAGTGGTTCACAGCTCCCTTTAATTTAATTTCAGCTCCAAGAGATCGAATTCCCTTGTCCTGGTCTCTACAAGCACTGTGTTCATGTACACCCTCACACTCTGATACATATCATTTAATTTTAATTTAGTTAAAATTAAAACAACTTGCTTGCTTAAACTAAGAACTCAGTAGATGAAAAGTACTGTAACTCAAATACCTATTATATTATGACGTAACGTACAGTGTAAGCATATACAGCAGGAGTCAGCAAAGCTGTTCTGTTAGGATCTAGATAGTAAATATTTCAGACTTTTGGGCCCCACAGGGTCTGTTTGAAAAATATAAAACTACCTTTAGTTCACAAAGGTTGTAACAGAAATCTGTAATAGACCAGGTATATTCCATGGTTACAATATTAACATGATCATGATGAATAATAATACAATTTCCAGAATTACCTTTTAGCTTCTCAAATAAGTTTGAGATTAAAATCAATATAAATTTATAGAAAAGAGCAAAGAAGTAGCAATGGATCTTTTCCAGAAAACTTTTAAGGTACTGCTCTTTAAGAAACATAAACATAACTTTCTACATTTTCTTTTTTATGTTTAAATTTAGGTATGAAGCCGATTCATGCTGCAGACAAACAGCTTCTTATAGTGGCAAATGCCCACATGCATTGGGACCCAGAGTATTCTGATGTGAAACTTATTCAGACCATGATGTTTGTGTCAGAGGTTAAAAACATTCTGGAGAAAGCCTCAAGTAGGCCTGGCAGCCCAACTGCAGATCCTAATTCCATCCCGCTGGTGCTATGTGCAGATCTTAACTCATTGCCAGATTCAGGTATTTACAACATATTCTCCTTGCCTTCAATTTTGTTTTTAATCCTGGTTGAAAGGCCACTTATCTCCTAACAGGGCTTTTTCTTCTAAATTAAGGAAAACGTCTGTTCGAATTTCGGGGGATGGGGTGAGATAATAACTAATTGAAAAAAGTTTAGTAAGAATACTGATTCCAAAGGAGTGGTCAAGCTTAAATGAAGCAAAATGATTGCTTTTGTACTTTACCACCCCTACTCTTAACTGGAAAGATAGTGGGAGCTGTCATCAGACGTGGATGTATAGAAGAGGGCCAATAATTGACGTGATGGCTTGGAATTGAATGATAGAATCAATGCTTTCTAGATTATAATAAGGAAGCTATGGAAAGAGATACCCTCTCTCACTCTGCTCTGATCTGCCAGGGCTACCCACTAACCAAGTCCAGCTAGAAGATATAGGGAAAGATTTGCATCCTTGCAAGATCAACCTCCTGAGGCACAGAGTTCATCAGAGAAGGGAGAATGCTCTCTTTAGAGAACATTCATTATGGATAGCTGTCTCACTTAATAATCTTGGCAAGTTCCGTGATCTTTCTGTACTTACTACTAAGTATAGAAGAATAGTCAAAATTCTAGTAAGATTGTGTATCACACCACTGGACTACTTTATGTCTGAATTTCATTTTTGGAAGACAGAGTTCTCCATTGTAGACCCTAGATTTCAAATGCAAAACAAAAGAGTATAATATAAGTCTTGTACTATTAGCAAAACATATTCTAAATATTATATATTATTATTAAAGTATTTAATCCACATCCCCGGTAGAGATTAAACTCAAGATTGTTGCATGTTAGGCAAGCATTCTACCACTGAATTATGTCCCCAGCTGTCATCAGGGTAGTCAGAATAGTCACTCAATAGCAGATATAAAATAAATACCTATACTTGGAATTTGTAAATAACCAGCCTAAGAAAATATCTTGTTCATTGTAATTAAATGCTGAAATCTTTGCAAATACTTGATTTTGACCCCTAGGCCAACTAGCACCTTCTTTGTTTCCTCTGCCTCTCTCATTCTTCCACGTGTATACGCATGAATACATGGTGGTATGTTTGTGCATATATGCTCACACACTCCCCAGAAGTCAACCTTGGGTGTTCCTTGGGTGCTAGTCACCTTGTTTGTCACACTAGGTCTCTACCAGCCTAGGGATCACCAAGTAGGGTATGCTGGCTGACCAGTGAGCCCCAGTGATTTGTCTGCCTGTACATCCTCAGCACTGGTGTTACAAGAGCTCTCCACTATTCTCAGTTATATTTTCATGGGTTCTGAAGCATGACTCAGACTCCAGTGCCTGCATGGCAATCACTTTACTGAGCTGTCTCTCCAGCCCACATCCCTCTTTCTTATTCTATATACAACTCAAAAAACTGCAAGTGTTTCTTGTATTATTTCATATTTTCTTGAAATTATTTATAATAAGTACAAGCATCATTGTTACCATTGCATAGTTCACTGCTCAAAGCATTGTTGGATCCTGGTTCTGTTTTTTAGGTGCTATACATGTTATTCAATCTGGGAGTAATTTTATTGACCTCATTAAATTGTTTGCCTGGCATAATCGTAACTGCTAGATAAGTTGCATTTCCTTTTGAGTTATTTACAACACTGATATTCATTTTACTTCATGTTTTGCTATCATTCTTAATTACTAATAAATGAATTTAATATTATTGCTAACTAATAAAAGAGTAAGACTTTTTTCATTTTAATTCGGTAGAAACTTTGAAGCTGCTACTCTTTTCAACTCTTTAGACACATTAATACTTTTGGTCTCTCGCATATAATATTATTTAAATTCAAAATGTTCATCATAGTTGTCAGACAGATGATGGGGAGGTTGAACTGGAGAGAGAGCTTCGTGGTTAAGAGTACTGACTGTTCTCCCAGAGGGCCATGGTTCGATTCCTAGAGCCCACACAGTGACTTAAAACAGTCAGTAATCTTAATTCCAGGAAACCTGATAGAACTTCTTTTAGCCTGAGGGGGCACTAGGCATGCATGTGGTACAGACTTGCAAACAGAACACTCATACACAGAAACTAATAATTAAAAATAAATAAATAAATAAATAAATAAATAAATAAATAAATAAATGATACTTCCAAGTTAACTCTGAGTATTGAATTATTGAGAATGAAAAGTAACATTCTTTTTTATATATCTTTAATGTTATTGATTATTGTAACTACTGCTAAAGAGATATGTCTTAGGGTTTTTATTGCTCTGAAGAGACACCATGACCATGGCAACTGTTACAAAGTAAAATATTTAGTTGGGATGACTTGCTTACAGTTTCAGAGGTTTAGTCCATTATCATCATGGTGGGAAGCATGGCAGCATGTAGGCAGATAGGATGCTGACTACTACTTGATATGTAGGCTAAAGGAAGTTGACTGAGACACCGGACAGTACCCTGAGCATAGGAAACTTCAAAGCTCACCTTCGCTTCCTCCAACAAGGACATACCCACTCCAACAAAGCCACACCTCCTAATTGTGCCACTCCTTATTGTATGTGGACCATTTACATTCAGACTACCATGAGATGGTGGTTTTGAGTAATAGTACAAAAACACGGTCAAGACTTCTGGTAAATGCTGTCTAGGTTCTAAAAATCATCTAAACCCGAAGAACCACTAAGATTGACAGTATACCTGGATGGTCCTGATACTTTGTTCTGAAATTGACAAATACCTTTCAGTGTGGTTGTTACATGAAATTACTAGAAATCAGCAACAGGAACACTTTTGTTTGTTTCTGATACAGAATCTCATTATACAGGCCTGGCTTGCCTGGAGCTTTCTATGTAGACCAAGCTGTCCTGCAACTCAGAGAAATCAGCCTGCCTTTCTGCCTTTTGGGTACTAGGATTAAAGATATGTACCACCAAGCCCTGCTAAGAGTGTCATAGGACTTAACCAAGCCTCTCTAAATTTGGTGTGTCTGTAAAGTAAGGCTTAATACAACTTTGTACGAAATATTAAAATACAGTGTTCCTTTCTTTATTCTGCTAGGTGTTGTGGAATATTTAAGCAACGGAGGAGTAGCTGACAACCATAAAGACTTCAAGGAACTAAGGTACAATGAGTGTCTTATGAACTTCAGCTGTAGTGGAAAGAATGGAAGCTCAGAAGGGAGAATCACACATGGCTTCCAACTTAAGAGCGCCTATGAAAATAACTTGATGCCTTATACCAATTACACCTTTGATTTCAAAGTAAGTAGCAGTCTCTGGGTGGCATATGAACTATTTCAAATAAAAGCATGTAAAAAAGAATATAAACCCATATGATTAAGAGTTTGCAGACCTAGAGAGATTGCACTAGCTGTTCTTTCAGAGGACCTTAGTTTGATTTCCAGCACTTCTCTGGCAGCTTATAGGGCATTTGATGCCATCTTCTGACCTCTGTCAGTGCCAGGCACCCAAATGTTCCACAGACGTGCATGCAGGCAAAATATATGTACACATGAAAAAAATAAATTAATTGATTCAAAAACAAACACACAAAATCCAGTCACAAAAAATGTCTGGTTTGCATATAAAGCTAAAAAGGAAATTTTGTTGGGTTTTGTGTTTATTATTGATATCATTCGAATTCTTTTTTAGCTTTCATTTGTTTACATTTTAGATATTAGCGATAATAGGTAATATTTCTAAAATTTTTACTTGTCAGTCACTGTTGGCAGAACTTGGGTATATATTAATACAGTTAATTCTCACCTGTTTACCACCACCAGTGCTTAGGAAGAACTTAAGCCCTTAATACAACTATGGCTAAACTCACCTGGAATGAATTTATATAGTATTCAGTCAAATTTTTTTTGAATATCTTATAATTTCCCAGGTTTCTTGTAGGGGTAGAGTTACAGGTTGTGCTTAATGTCAGTCTTATCCATGTAGTACTACTAATATATTCTCAAGTCATCCATGGAACTAGTTTTTAAAAGGAAAAGGAAGTCTTAAAAATAAGGGAGCCTGTTGTTCATGTTCAGGACAAGATACTCATTGAAAGACTGATGGCAGTCTCTCTGATTACTCACTTCCCTTTGCCTGTTTTCTGATTGTTTCCTATACTTGTAGCTCTTCTTTTTACCTCTGTGTTGCTTTCTGCTATTTCCAGAATGAATTGCATATCTTCTATCCAAAATATACATATGTAGATGTAGAAAGATGTTTAGTATATAAAGCCTAGAGAAATTATAGTATAATACAAAAGGAAAATTATTAAATAGGTTCATTCACATCTTCAATAACCTGTTCCTATTTTGTTCACTTTTCTGTTTGTTGGTTTAGTTTTTTAGACAAGTTTCTCTGTAATGCCCTGACTGCTCACTATATAGATCAGGCTGGCTTTTAACTCAAGAGATCCACTTGCCTTGCCTCCTAGGATGAAAGATTAAAGGTGGGCACCACTATGCCTAGCTTCCCTTTTTAATTTTTGAGGTTTGTTTACTCCTTTCTAAGCAAAAAAAAATCTCTATGTTGATATTAGTCTGCTTTCATAGTTACGAAATGAGAACTAAAACTGCTTAGAAGTTAATGTAGTTTTACTGTTAGATCACTATTCATTGGTAGATTGTATTGTTTTGATAACTCATACATGACGATGTGCAGTAAAATACTGAACTAACTTTCTAGGGGACATAAGCCTTGATTTGTAGTGTTTTCCATGGTTTAAGTACTTTTTCTAATCTAACTTTTGTTCACATTGTTGAGAATGGTACCATTAAATTTGGCAATTGCCAGCTCTTAACATATTGCTGGTTTTTGCAGTTGAAAGATACACTTCTATACTTTGTGATACATAGTTTATTATAGTTTAAATCCTGTCTTTAAATTATAATGATATATAAAACATTTGCCAGCATATCTCAGAAAATCTGAAAATAAAGTTTCCCAAAATAAGTGTGCAGTAATTGGGTAACTATTAATTGTTGTCTTGGTCTGTGAGTAGGTTAAGAGAAAATTTTATTTCTTCCTTACTTTTTGAAAGCTTACTTTTTACTTGTCTGTGGACTATAAACTTAAAAAAATGGCATATAAGTTACCATATTCTTCTTGCATTAGGCATTGTGGCACATATTGTAATCCCAGCACTTGATAGGGTAAGGAAGAAAGATCTTGAATTCGAGCCTGGCTGGGTTTTATATATATAGCAAGTCCTTGCTACATTAAATGAATGGATGAATGGATTTCACATGTAGAAATATTTTTTTCTGTTTGGTTGTGGACTCTCCTGATATATGTAAACATTAGATTAGGTGGAATCTATGCACAGCCTGGGACAATGGAGACACATTAGTTTTGTTATCTGTTAATCAAACAAATCAAATCATCTAGCTTCGGAAATAGAACAGATGTTTTATATATATAGGGTTTTGTCTTCATGTGTGTATGTCTGTTTCTACTAACTGATACTTTTCTTTAGTGCCAGGATTTGTAGAAATAAGTATTTTAAACTAAGCAAATTAGGACAGTTAGCTGTATAGTAGCTTGCATATATGTTAGATTTTACTAAGCCATGTTGTTTCTTTATTCAACCACCTTTATTCATGTAATAACCCATTAAAAATTAGAGCCTTGCTTAATATATAGTCAGGATAACAGGCACCAGGAATACAGGTTACTTAGCTATTTAGCTTTTCCAAATTAAGGATTGTTCTTGTTCTTTTTATGGCAGTTTTCTCATTTTCTAAACATATTTTTTTCTTTCTCCTCCCTGTTACCCCTATTCTCTTCCCAGGGTGTGATTGACTACATTTTCTATTCCAAGACTCATATGAACGTGCTTGGTGTCCTGGGGCCTTTAGATCCTCAATGGCTGGTTGAGAACAACATCACTGGGTGTCCACACCCTCACATCCCTTCAGACCACTTCTCACTGTTAACACAACTTGAACTTCACCCTCCACTCCTGCCTCTTGTCAATGGTGTTCACTTGCCTAATCGGAGGTAGTGGAGTATAGCCCCGCCAAGACGGGGATCTGTTGCTATGGACCTGTACAGTTGTAAATCAAAGTATGTAGGAGTGAAGTATGGCCATCCTTAAGCTGCTGCTTCAGGTTCCTTTCATTATGTGTTTGCTATAAGACTTTGTATGTTTTGTGCATATTGATATCATTTGGCACTAGGGCTGGAACCAAAGTATTACCGTCTGTCTATCCAAACGTTTAATATACTTTAAAATTGGATTTCTTTTTTTCCTATTATATTAGAAAACAGCATTCACAAATGGTAAATCACTAATCTGAGGCCCAACACCAGTGTTCTTCTCTAAAAACAAATACATTCTATGGAATGATTTCAGATAAGCCAATCATTTTTATAAGAAGTGATTTTTACAAACTCCAAATACAAGATTTTCAATTGAATTATGGCATGCCTTATAGGAAAAACTTCTTTGAGTTTTTGGTTTCCTTTATAACAAGCTGATTTTTGGCTCCCAAGTCATTTGCACAGTAACAAAGCACTTAAATTTGCTTGATTTGTACATTAAATGTGATATAGTCACTAGCCATAACAAGATAATTTGAGAAATGAAAATAATTGTACAACATGCTTTCAAAGTCAAGCATTAGTTTATGATAGTTTGTTGGCCAAATGCTGGTTGTTTTGTTTGAGGANCCCCCCCCCCCCGCCACCTTTTCCTTTTTGGTCTGTCTGTTAGTTATAATTTTTTTAGAAGTATTAACTTTAAGCCCATCTCTCCAGTCCATTTATAAGGAAATAGCAGATATATACTGCCATACATATTGAAAGTAGAATTTGGTATTTTTAGGATGCCCACAAAATTAGTATCTAATATTTGCCATTTTTCATGTCCACTCTTCTTTGCTGTCTGGTTGTACTGGAAAAAGATATGATCCATATCGTCTTTACCACTACAGTTTTAATATTTAAGGAAGAAGGTTACTGAATGAAAAGCCCCTGGTAAAAGGGAAAGCCATATAATATTACACATGTTTTCCAAAGTAAGTTAAATGGCTGGTTTGTTTGTTTGTTTGTTTTTGATTTTTTTTTTTGAGGTAACAAATGGAGAGGACAGATTTGGGGAAGTAGTTGAAAACTTTGGATCTTTTTTTTCTGACTCTAGCTGCCAAATGGCCATCATATGCTTTTAATCTTTGTTGCCATATCTGTCTAGATTTGAATTGAGCTACTGGTTTATTCCCAAAGTTTGATGCCTCTAGATGTATTGGAAACCAACCCCCCTTTTGTTGTTGTTGGCCAGGAGGGGCCACTTAAAATCTGACTGGAGAGGCAGAAAGCATAAATAACCATTTTGTGGGGAGAAAATTAGTTGGCTGCTTGATGTTAATTATGGCACAGTAACATTGAAAAAGGTTGTGTCTGTGTTTTTAAGTTTTTCTTTATTCTGCTTTTTTGCTGCTATAAGAGTTTTCTGAAATTTATATTTTAAACTTTTCATGCACTTTACTGTTTCTAGTATGAAAATGTGATATTTTTAATAAACAAGAAATTTTCCATTATGTGAATGAAATTTTAAAAGAAAATAGCCTATATTTGTGTCTCACTAATATATAAAGTACAAGTCAAACTTAAATTATTTAATTAGTTTTAAATATATACAAATTGTCTCCTCTTTCAAACCTGACATCTTAGGCTGTTTTATTAGTCTTAAATAATACATTTCCTGTGGTTATTTTATACTAATTTCTTCCATAGTTTACTGATCAGGCTATATAAAAGAATATTTCCCCAAAGGGTTATTTTAGTGGGCTGAGGGTGGTGGGATGATGTAATACCACACAGGATCGCATCCAGAAGAGCTCTGTAAAGCCTAAATTCCCTTTTCAAAGTGCCTAGTGACAGAGGCGGTCATCGATTGTAATTGGGATGTCAGTGTAGTTCAAAAACGTTTGATGTAAATAAAATATTCTTTTAAAAAATGTTAAAGTACCTGAATAAAAAAAAAAGTAGAAGAAACCCTTGATGACAGATTTTCCTCAGTGTTCAGGTATCCCTTCTTATATACCTCAAGCATCCAACATCTAGCCATGCAAATTGATTATCTGAAGCATAGTACTGGAAAGTAGAATAGCATGAAAAACTTAATTTTGTGGACATTACCTTTTTTTGTAATCAGCTACTGTATGTTTAGTTGTAGATCTTTTGTTTTGGGTGGGTTTTCTGCTCTGGAGGTATATGCACTAACAGAACATTCTTTCATAGACGCATGTTAATTAGCAATGTGAGCAATATTTCCTACCATACTTCACTCCCGATATTTTTTGAGATGTTTGTATAAAATGAAATTTAAAGTTCACTTATGATTGTATATGAACCACAGAGGAGCCCATTTATTAATAAAAAAATCTTTTTTAATAGTTAAATGTGGAGGGGAAAATAAAATAATTGGGAAACATTGTAAACAGCTTAAGTTTATTTTGTGTATGATTGAGGCACTCTGTTGCAAGAAGGTGTGTAATTGGGTCTCTCTGCTTCCAAATGCACTCTTTCAAACCATTATCCTGTGTATTTTAATGTGGTTTTCTTAAATGTTGGTAGTAGCTCTGTTGAGGTAGGTGATTGTGTTTTGTTTTGGGTGGCACACACCTAGGGCATGGTAACCCAAATTTCATGTGCACGGTTTCCCTTTAGCCTCTTGCCTAAATTTCACACACTGTTTCCCCTTTGTTCCCTTTGTAAAAGGAGTGGTATCTAGTTTTGAGCTGCCAGTTCAGATGATCAGAAATGCTGCTGTCCTCAGCATTGTCTTGCTAAATGCATGCCATTTGGAACTTTGGCAGTGAGAAGCCCAAAGGACAAGGTGAATGACATGGTATATATTTGTGAAAATGAATCATATATGCTCATATACTTTCTAGTTCTCAGAATAAGTTAATAAGCTTTATGCCGTTGGGCTGCTGCATATTTTATCTGATGATAAAAGAAAATTTGGGCATTTTTAGATTGTGCTATGTATTTTTTAACTGTTAAATATGATTTCTGGTAATTTTCTTAAGAACTGGAGTGTTAAGTTTATTAAAACGGTGTTGTTTGAGGAAGGGGAAACTGCACTGTTTGCCATTATAACAGTCATACAAGTGCATGTCAAGTCACCCACTGTCAAGCATCAGTACCCTCCTCATAGCTTTACACACTTTGATGGGGAATATTGCAGCATCCTCAGGACTGACATCTGGAAAAAGGCTCAAATCTACTTACTGCTCCTTGCTTGTTGACTTTGTTTTACAATATTGTGCCTGGTGTCAACTTTTAAGCAACAGCACTGCCTAAAAGCAAGCAGAGAACAGAATCCCAGCACCATTCTGTAGGCAACTTTTTAGAATTCAGATACAGTAGATCTGTTCAAGATTTATGGTGTTTTATGTAAAAAAAAATTTTGTACAACATAGCTAAATATTTTTGTTTGATTTATTTGATGTAAGGCGTGTGAACATTCGTTTGAATATCACATGTTAAAGTCAGGTATGGCACAATGGGTTCTGAGACCAGCTTCCCTACCCTCCCATTTGCCTTCTAATCTTTTTATTTTCAAATTACGTTTCTGATATCCATAAGCAGATATTCAATTTTACTAATAAGCATCCTTTGTGAATGTATTTCAAAAGCCACTATGTTTTAGTGTTACAATTGTAGAAATATGAAACTTTTTTTTTTTTTGGTCTTAAGTCATATATCACTGAGAAGGGAGAAAGCTGAAAACTAAGACTCCTATCACTTGAATCTGTGGCAGATTATGTTAAAATTGAGGGTGTGGCACATTAAACCCAGAACATGGACAAAATTGTGCTCCATTTAAAAATTCTGTCTCCTGTGTATGTCTTGCCAATAGGTGAAGTTTTAAGTCTGCATTCTATTTCCAGGAATTCATAAAAATTACACAAACCACCTGTACACTCAATAGCAGATAGCAGAGGGAAGGGAAAGCACAAGGAGAAATAGGTTGAGTGCATGTATTGAAGGAGCCAGGAGCATAGAGCTTCATTTCTAACACAAAATTAGATTTCCTAGTGTTAAAAGTTGACCGTGTTCCAATACTGATTTAAATTTTAATATTTTATATTCTCAGTTTCTGAAATGTTTTTAATAGCTTTGCAAAGTATACTAACTGGTTGGTAGCTTCAGTCACCAAAAAAAAAAAAAAATCCCATAAATTGTATTACAATAGTGGTCCTGTAGCAAGCAAAAATCTCTGTCACATATTCAAAGTAACACGTTTTGACTGAAATGTGAGCTGTCATGTTTGTAAGTTTTTTTTCTTCTCTCTTCCCATAAAACCCAAAGTAACACCTTTTTAATGTGTTAAAAGATTTGTTTACCAACTTTCCGTTTGGTTTGTATCATATTTGTATGACTTTTGTCTATTAGAAGTAGATAAATTAAGTAGAGAAGTTAGACTTATTTTTCTAAATCAGGAACTTCAACTGAAGTTTTGAGTTTATAGACAGAAGAGAACATTTATGTCTGTGATTGCTCTGGATAATTTTAATTCTGTAATTGCACTGAAATTCCCAAATTTAATTTCAAACACAAGTAAATGCTACTACATCTTTAACCTCATTTACCAAAGTTATAGCCTGTTTAAGAACAGGATGCCAAAAGCATCTTTCATAATTGTCAACTAAATGCTTAAAAGATAAAAGAAAACCCTTGGGTGTTCTGAGCAAGTGCTGCAGAAAGGAGAATGAGAAGAGAAACAGAAAAAAGTCAGGAACCTGTTCAGGACACTGATAAGGAAGAGCATGTGTACTTCTTACTTTAACTAAATGCATTCCTGTAAATGTCTCAGTTAAAGGCCTGTAGGAAATATGGCTTCCCAAAATGTTTTAGTAATATAATTAAATAACATAATTATTGCTTTTGGCATAAGTTTGGTTTAACTTGGTTTACGCTAGACTTGGTTTATTCTTGGATCCAAAGGAAAAACTGAAGTAAGATAACTTTCAAAGGATATGAATTAAGGGCATGCCTATAAAATGTTGATTTTTTTTTATGGCACAGCCTATAAAATGAATAGCACTGAACTGGAATTCAAAGTTTGTCATCAGAAATCATATGCCTCTTGGCATGGTTGCATGGTATATTTACTTTTCAGAATATTTGAAAAGATATCATTTGGCACCTATTACTGGTTATTTTCATCAGCAAGAGCCCTGAATTTAATTTCCTTGTTTATATTATTTGTCACTTCTAAAAGTATAGGACTCCTGGTAGCCCTCCAAAAAAAAAAAAAAATGGTTCTTTCTTGCTCGCTATTTTAGAGCACTGACATATTTTCTTAGCTATCAATTGTTCAGTGTTCCACATTTGTTTAATTTATGTGTAGTTACTTGAGCTCAGAATATTGGCTCAGCATTGGTGTGCCAAACAATGACTTTGCTTCTTACCAGACAGACTTAGTGTCCTGCTACAGTTTCAACTTTAATGCGGTAAGTGATGCAGTGTGTGGATTGCTCCTTATCCAGAAACTACTGTCCTTTCTCTGTGCTTAATTTGCTAAAAGTATATTCCCTTACCTTGAAATTCCTGAGCAGTGCTCTGCCATCTTTTGAGAGGGGTTTGGATGGCTGTTCCTGCACACTGGATCTGGAATTGTTCAGTGTTGAGTGGCAGATTTCTTAAACACCAGCAGCACTGAGAAGTGCACTATGGGCATTCGTACAGTTGCCCAAATGCAAACAGTTCTGTTATCCAGGAGAAGCTGAGGTGTTGGGTTCAGTAGGAATACTTGGAGTATTTCAAGGAGGGCAAATGCTTTATTAGCTCTGCTGTCTCTGAAGTGGGGTAGCATGTTTTGCTTTTTTTGTTTGTTTGCTTGTTTTTCCTTTTATTTTTTTGTTTTTCCTTTTTTTTTAAAGAAAAAATATGTACATTTTTTTTTCCTCTTTGGAAAGGCCAGGCTATTTGATTACATTCACCAGAGGTTAAGTTGTATATCTTATTTTCAACTGGGTAAGTGCCAAGTAGTTGTCCATGGACCTTTCCACTCAGTTTACCATTTGACTAGGGAAGGAATTATTTATTTTTATTTCCTGGCATTAAGTTGACTAATTTATTATTTTGCATACACTTGAGTTATTCTGTGTCCTATATAGTGGTTTTTGTAACTCTTACAATGGTATAAAAGCAAAGCACATGATCCTGAAACTACGCAAAATGTTTTAGTAATTTTCCCATGAATACTTGGTTGTTTCTATTAATACCATTCTAAGTAAATTCTACTGTTTCAAGTTGTGTATTTTTAAGAAAAAGCCAAGCACTAAATGGACATATTATGATAATCATTTACAATCCAAGCTTTTTTCTTTTTTCTTTATTAGAGGATTCAATGAAGTGCCATGTAATTGTAGCTTACTAATAATTAATGTTTGATAGACTGGTTCTGTGATATTCTTGACATTTAACTCTTGTCATCACTGGAGAAGATGGTTCTACTCTCATTCTCTGATAAAATCACCAGCTGCTTTATTTTTCTATTTATTAAACAGTTGATAAGGTCTGGATCTTGACCGAAATACTTAGCTGAGATGTTTTTCATAGTAGACACTATAGAAGATGTGTGTGAAAAAGGACACAGTTGGGCGGTGGTATTCTTTTTCATTAATGTGAACATTGACTAAACAAAGCAGTCCTGCCTTTTAAATCTTGTGGCAGCTCAGAAGGGAGGTGCTTAAGAACCTTAACTATTATGTCAGATGACAAAATATTTTTTTTTCCATTTTGGAGATTGGGTACTGCTCACACATGATGTATAGGGCTAAATATATGCTTGTTTCCTTGCACCTGTGTACCTTTTCCCTTCTCCCACTTTTCCTTTCCCTGTAGGCAATAAATGGCCATTTTGCAACTGCATACTTTTGTCTTGATTTTTGATTATTTGTGCAATGCTAAGTTCCTGCTTTGGGGTGGGTACTTTTCTTGTAGGGCAAACTAGGAAACCAAGGTGATTTAGCTAGAACAATTTCAAATTCATACTTGAGTATTTTTTTTTGTTTTACTTTTTTATTTGGTGAGAATTAATTTAAGGGTTTCAAATAGGATAGATTTTGAAGTTATGTGACATACTTTACCAGAAGAAATCAAGCAAAGGGACTTACTTGTAATACCGAGTTTATAGTAAATGGTATGTGATGTGCCATGTTGTAGTTTCTTACCTTGGTGACCATGGAAGTTTATGCTGAGATGAAGCTTCTCATCCTATGTCCTTGAGTGCCTGGTGAATAGAAGTCTCCTGATAAGCTTTAGGAATGTACTATGAATATGAAGCAACTGCTAGATCTTAGTGCCATTAGTCTGACCAATGTAACAACCGTCAGACAAATAAGCAGAGTTAAATAGACCTGAACAAGCTTGATAGGTTAGACCTGCCGAGACCCAAAGCAAATTCATTCAGTGTTGATGACACATCTATAAAGATGATAGACTCCTTGTCCTCCCAGAAATAATTTCCCATGTATTTTATTTATGACACAAGAAGATACCCAAATGTTTGAGTTAGTATAAAAATAGTTTTAAATCTTAGCATCTGGGAAAGAAAGTAAGAAGAGGTCATGCAGTATAATTAGAAATTCAAAGAACTGGATATATTCAACTGAAAACTGATTTTCAGGTATGAGTCAGATTCAGAGAGGAAATTGAAGTAACCAGCTTAGTACTTGAAAGGACACTTTTAGATTATTTTGGAACAGATTGCTGGCATCCAAAGAAATCCCTAGGCTATAGAGTTCAGAGCCTACTTCCTTGGCATTTAAAGATTTGCTACAAGCCTGTAGTTGACCCTGGGGCTCTTCTCAGAAGCCATTATGTTGGACTGCCTCTAAGAAGCCATTTATGAAGTGGATCTTGATGTTCAGGTTTCAAATTGACTGCCTCAAGAAGCTCTTAAGAGAGGACATTGGAATCATTCACTGCATGTTTGTGCACTTTATAGCCTTGGGCAAGACAGGCTTGTTGGTAAAGTTGAAGCAATAATCTCAAATCTTCAGGGATTAGTTTGGTGTGCTGGGGATCCAAACTGAGGTCCTTGTTCATGTATGGAAAGCACTCTTACAACTAAGCCATCATTCCAGCACCTGACCCATTTTTAAAAATTGGATCAGGACAAAGCTTTGGACAAAGTAGCTAATGGTGTTTTAAGTGATCTAAGCCTAGAGACCTGGAAAGAATGAATTTAGGGAAAACAGCAAATCGGGGGAGACGTTTTTTAATTCGTTATCTCTGTGGGCAACAGTACCTTCTTAGAACTCTGGGGAACTGGGTAAAATGCTTCTTAACAGTTTTTGTTTTAGAGGAACGGGAAAGAGAATTTACTTGTGGAGCCTATCTACACGACACACGAGTGCTTTGGGTGTTGATTGCTCTGTCCTTGTTTGTGCATGCATCACATCCGGTTGTCTCAGTGACAACAGAAATGGAGTAAGGGTGTTGAAAATGAACGTATAGCTGAGGCAACAGAAAGAATAAAGTTATGGTGTGAGGCTGAGCACAAGGGGAATCTACCCCTGAGAAGTTTGGACCCATTGTCTACTCCTAGTCCATCCCAGATGTGTTAGTACTACCTCTAGTACTCTGCCTAAACATTGCTTTGCTTCACCAGAGAGGACCACCCCATCAGTTAAGGTACAGTTACCATACATAGAGTCCACTTTTATGTGCTGCTTTAGTTCCTAAAATGGTAGCCTGGCTCTTAAAATTGGTTGGCTTTGTCAACTGTTTTCTTTGGAGGTAGATACCGTTAATACATTCCTTTGTTCAGGTGATGTCGTTAATAAGATTGTGGGTCTTCAGTGAGGAGAGACAAGCACAACTCTGAGCAGCTGCTACCAATGAGAACTTTGTGGGTTATAGTCTCTCTTCCTCTAGAAGAGATAGTGCTTTGAGGGTTGGGGATAGTTAGGAAATTCAAGTTTCTCTGCTGTCACAACCAAATGTTCCCATCCTAGATTGTAGGGTTTTGTGCAGTTCCTTGAAATTGAAGGCAATATTTGTTGTACGAGTTCCTAATATGGAATTTCTGAGTCTGATTTTTAATGTTTGTCCTGAAATAATTACTGGTTCAGTGGTCTTTTACACTGTCTTTTTATGCATTCTTTTACAATATGCCTTGACTTATAGCTGGCTGCTCTGAGCCTTTTGAGGTCCCCCCCCCCAAGTTTTCTAAAGTTAACTTTGAAAACTGCACAGCCAGCCCCAGAATTTTTTCCTGTCCTATACTGTTTAAGTTCTACTACTTCCCCAATAAACCAGTACTTCTATTTCATTCATTTCAAACCCGTCACCGGTGAGAGCACCTGTAGTTTTCAACCAAATAAGCTGGTGAGATATTATCTTGAGTCTTTGGTTTGTTATTGGTTTTGGTTTGTTTGTTTTTTGTTATTTTCACTATTTCTGGTATTATATTAGCTTCCTTTTCATTTACAAATAACAGAACCCGAATGATCATCTTTTCGATAGCTTATTTTGCCTTGTGATCATAAGAAACCAGGATGGGGACTGGGAAGTGTCACATAGCACAGAAAGGGGAAAGAGTCACAGATGAATTGCTGAACTAATCACCTGTATGCCCCTGAAGTTTGAACCTATGTGGAACCTTATGAGGAGCTATCTGGACAGTAGGTTGCCTTTTATTTTTCTATTTTTTTTTAGAGGTTAACTTCTTCACAGATAAAAGTTTAACTTTTATAATTTTGATTGAATAGAGATTTAAATTTTCTGTTGAAGAAAATCAAGGACATACACTCAATTACAACAGCAAATGATAAGGTTCTTACTGAAACCAAGCAGAGTCACGTGTATTTTAAAGCATTATCTTTTATGCTGCTATCTCCTATTTGTAGATCATGGTAACTAGAGAGTTTATTGTTAAAGAGTTCACAGTGTGTCATACACCTTAATATATTGTAGATCATGGTAACTAGAGAGTTTATTGTTAAAGAGTTCACAGTGTGTCATACACCTTAATATATATTAGCTCATTCGATTCTCACAGTAAGCCAGCTGGCCTTTCAGATGAGACTGTTTTTCGTTCTTAGGCATGGGTGACTGAAGGGCTGTGATGCATATGCCAGGTCAAGAAGCCTTCTTACTGGGCCATGGGATCTGTAGAACGCTTGGATTAGTGGTGCAGCTGCAGTTGTTCAATTCTTTAATATAATGGAGGCTGTTGTAATGTGTTTGCCACCCACCATATCAAGTGACTCAGGCAATGCTTGTAGTCTCTTCAAGACTCAAACATTAATTCTCTACTCTGGGAGTGTAGGAAGCTGTTGGCTGGCAGCTCCTCCCCTGAGGACAGAGAACTGCTTTGCTCAAGGCCATGACCTACTATAGAGTGGTTACAACCAGTCCCTGGCAAAAATGGAGTTAATTAAGGCTTAGCTCCCTTGTATGAATGTGTAGGCAATTCTGAAGACACCAAAGTTCCCTGTGCAAACTTCTAAGGCTGTTATGACAGTACAGTTTCCTCAACAAATTTGATCCTGAGAAGTATAATAAAAACGTTCTCACTGTCAGTCTGCATCTAAAAAACTGATTTCCTGGAGAATCCATCCCATGGCAAGGAGGAAGAGGTTCTATATACCAGGTTGTTGGGTTATAAAAGTCTTGCTATGGAAAACCACAAAACTTGACATAGAAGATAAATTCTCTCTGTTTTAGTTGTCAGGTGCTGTGACAAGACAGCATGACCAAGACAGCTTTTCAAAGAAAGTATTTTGGGGGCTCACAGTGCCAGAGAATTAGGGCAGGGAACATGGTGGCAAACAATCAAGCACAGTGTAGAGCAGTTAACTGAGAGCTTGCATCTGATGTATGGGCATGAGGCATAGGGAAGAGCTGAGACTGGTGTAGGCTTTTGAAACTCAAGCTCACCTCTAACAAGGCCACCTCTAATCCTTTCAAATAGTTCCACCAACTATGAACCAAGCATTTAAATACAAACCCATGGGGATCATTCTCATTAAAACAACCACACTGTGTATATATCGCTCATAATTATATCTGTAAGCTGGGCAATGGTGGCATGTGCCTTTAATCCCAGCACATGGTAGGCAGAGGTAGTCGGATCTCTGAATTCAAGGCCAGCCTGGTCTACGAGAGCTAGTTTTAGGACAGGCTCTAAAGCTACACGGAGAAACCCTGTCTTGAAAAAACAAAATGAGTAAGTAAATAAATAATAGATGCATCAGTAAAAACATGTTGACCTTATTGAAAGGCCAGTATAAGCTAATTTATAGGGATTTACAGGCTCTCCATGCAGATAGTCTACAGTAAGGGGTTAGCAATTATCAGAATTATATAATGCATGGAGCCATAAGAAGGAAACAAATTCAAACGGTGAGGGAAATAGTAATGTTTAGAAGATATTACCACCTTTATGTGCATGGATGTTTTGCCTGTATGGCTGCACTACATATGTGTGGTGCTCACAGGAGGGTGTTGAATCCTTTGGGGCTGGAATGACAGATGGTTGTGAGCCACCATTTGAGTGCTGAGAATTGAATTCCGATCCTTTGGAAGAGCAGTCAATGCTCTTAACCATGAGCCATCTCTCTAGCTCCACGTATTACCATTTTTAAAAGGCAATAAGCTGGAAATTGGGAAGAGATAATCAGATCCAAGAGGCTGAATTTACCTAGAGCCATGCAGCTAGAACCTTAGCAGATCCTTCCCAGAGTAGGCTGTGGCCCAGAGGAGGACTGTCTCTGAGGACTGACCCAGAGCTGACTAGAAATGATACTCAAGCCTCTAAACAAGAAAAAGGCCCTAGTTTTCCTCCCCTCTAGTTTTCTTCCATGTCTTCAGTGGCTGGTCCTAGCCAGAAGTTATCAGTAAGAAGCCTAAAAAATGTTATG